CACATATATATCTATGCGACATTTTATTCATTAGCAGGAAAATCAGAAGAAAGATGGAGAACAATTCTTTTCAGATACACTTCCCTCTTGCTTTTGTAACTCACACTTCTATTACATTGCTAAAATAATGATTTTTAATTCATGCTTCCCTTGGGATGCACTAGCTTTAGGAAGGAAATGCTTTGCCAGAAACTGCATCAGTCTCCTAAAACAATCAACTTGGGGAAGAAAAAAAATGTCCTAAGGGTTTTTGAAGAGCCCTAAGGACCACCTCACTGACTGAGAGCCCTGCACTCGCTCCCCTCTCTCCTGCAGGACTTTCCAAGCCATAGGAAGGACATATGGATTGCCCTTGTGCAATCTCCATTGCCCATCCGTCACTGCACCTGAAATGTGTCAGGCAGGCAGAGACTGACACTGGAGCCCTGGGACACTTTCCCCTGTTTTAACCCTTCAGTGCCTGCCCAAGCAGCACAGGTCACCTTCATGCCAGGACATACAAAGTCTTCTGGCTGTCCTGAAAATAAATGAATCTCAAAGTTTACTGCTAGCGAGCAAAGCACAGGACTATAGTCATATAATACATTTTCCTAACAAAAGCTAGTGGGCCAAAATCCCCTCCTGTCTATTAATTAAATTGCTATTTAATTCTCAATAAAAATCCTTCTTTTAAAGAGCCAAAGGATTCTCCATACCCCAGGTGACGTGCAGCAGCAGCAAACATTAAAACACACTGCCGTCTGCAGGCCTGATCCTGCCAAGAGCACTGGGGCTGTCCGATTTCCACCAGGAAAATCAATCTCTGTTAGACCAGAGAGTTCCCCTAAATGAAAAGCCTTATCTAGAACAGGTCGTGTTATACAACAAGTCACTCGCTTTGCCTGGGAAATGAAAGATGATGAGCCGAAGTCCCCGGTACAGAGGCTATCTCCATAAATCTGCCAAAAAGGAACTGTGGATTACTTTGCTGGATTAATTATCTGTCCTTCAAACAGAGTCCTGACCTCAGCGGCTGAGTATCTCCAAACTGTCAAAGCAGCTGGGAAATCAGGAAGAGAAGGCTTTTGCAAGGCACTGGCCACTGGCACCCTCTTTTTCACATGGGAAAAGCAGCAGAAACACCCATCAGAGTGATGGGAGCCCTGGCACTGACCAACCTGTCAGCACAAGGGGCTTGAATTGCAAGGTCTCAATCTGGATTTCTTTTTCAAATGGTCTTTTGCAGGGCGGTGATCCCACTCCTTGCAAAGTGTGGGGCAAAAAAGTGCATGTTTTCATGGGGTTAAAACATGGAGATTGGCAGGGAGGGGGAGAAACGACTGAATGGCTTTTCCCTATAAGATATGGAAATGATTCTCAGTGCAGGCAGGCAGGCAGCAGGCAGGCTCATGTATCCTATCAGGACAACTAGCCAAAGCTGTGGCACAGCTAGATCAGCGCTCCTCCATCATTTCAGGCTTAACAGCTTTGTAAGCTGGCGGCGTAAAGTTAAATCTTAAGTCTTATTTTATGTGGTTATGGTTAATTTTTTAGTTTTATTGTTTTCCTGTCACAGGAGGACCTTGTGCTAGAGATAGCTGTATAAATAAGAGCTGCAGTAGTATATCCCGAGGCACAGCTACCTGAGGGATGGAGCTGAAAAGGACACCAGCAATTCCAAATTAATTTTTATATCCCACCTCCAAATCATACCAATGCTTTAGATATTAATACCAAAGGAATGATAAATGGCTAGGTTGCTTTTCAGCTCTTTTGCTGTTGTACGTTCAACCCCAGCTAGTAAAATCAGACCAGACACATCTGAGCCCTGTGCCTGAAGACATGGGAGAGCCTGGGGGAGGCATCACCCGTTCCTGCCGTGAAATGAGAACAGCATCACTGCCACCTCCCCTCGTGGAAAGGAGGTGAAGAGTATAATTGCTACCTCCACTGGCCATTTTCACTTTTGCTTATGGTTGGTTTCTAATTTAATTTGCTTCCCTATTCCCATATGTTAAGCTACTTTTTTGCAAAATTGCCATAAAAATTTACCAGCTCAGGCACAAACTCTGCTTGCTGACCTTTACCATTGTGATTGAGGATAATGACAAATTGATTAGGCTTTACCTGCCTGCCAAAAAAATCACTTGCCTTGGGTGATTTTGGGGACATGCTAGCTGCTGGTTCCCATGTGTGAACTCTCAGACATCAGAAGGTAACGTATTCTTTCAAAAGCAAGCAGCAAATCATGTAAAGTAGAAGAGACTAGCTTGAGCAGGGCAGGGAGGCACTCACACCATTATGACTTCAGGAAAAAAATTGATTGCTGCATGACCATGTTTTCTTTTAAAAGTTGCCTTCAGACACTCACCTCAACCACAGTCTGGCAGCTGAAAGAAGCTGGCCAACTCTAGCTCTGGCAACAAACACAACCCAAAGTGGGAAAGAGGGCATCCTGAAGCCTGGCTTCAGGGATTTTGGAAACCTCTGCCTTAAGCTGAAGGCAGGGTGAAAATGGTGAGGAGGCTGGAGGCAATAGCAGGTGTCTGCAGTTGTCCCTTGGTCCCTTCATGGGCTAATCCTTCCCAGAATACCACTCTGGAAGATGCTGGTGCTGACAGGAGGAGGACTCATCCCTGGCAGTGTTCAAGGCCAGGCTGGGCAGGTTGCCTGATCTAGTGGGAGGTGCCCTGCCCATGGCAAGGGATTGGAATTGGGTGATCTTACGGTCCTTTCCAACCCAAACCATTCCATGATTCTATGACTCCTACTCTTCAATTCTTATGTTTGGAGAAAAAAAAAAATAATGCTAAGCAGTTTAATCAGTCTTTGATGTGTTCTGCCTGATTCTCTGATATGAGAGCTGCCCCCCACCAGGCAGGACTGGGGGCAGGGATTAAGCTCTTGGCATATGTAAGCAGATGCAAGGCTATATGCACTGATCTGCCTGCCTGTCACTCTGCACACCCCATCCTCCCCAGCCAGGTTCCCAGAGCATGTCTGGCTCCCTTCCACCATCCCTCCACCCAGTCATAATGACCAGACTGATGTTATCCTGACACTGAGTAGGGGACACTTGCGAATGAACATCATGACTATTTTGCAGGAAAACCTCCTGCAAAGACAGACATGGAAATAAGAGCATGCATGAACACTGCAGGTAAAAACCCAGGGTCTAAAGGGTCCAAGGTTTGTTTCCTTGATTTGATAGAGCAGCTGCAACTCTCTGATGAGCAGAAAGCCTGACCTGACCATAAATGGATGGATGGATGCATTTAGCAAATTAACCTCCTATAGATTACACAGTTGTTTCTCTAGGTTTAAGCCATCAAATAAAGACGCTTAGAAACCCAGAGCTGTTTGTTTTGCGCCAGTGCTGACAAGGGAAAATTCGATACCTACAGCATAACCCATACCGAGTCAGAAAAAGTGTCTGTGGCCATCAGCAGATGCCCAAAGGAGGGTGTACAAACAGGACAAGGGTGATTTCCCAGCTGCTGACCGTATTCAGACTTTGAGATGGGTAGGGTTTCTATAAGCTGATTCTTTTACCATCCTCACAGTAGTTCAGCAGCCTCTGCAAAATTAGAGGTTTCGATCCAGTCTCCAGTGAGACAAAAGCAAGTCCCTACTGCCCTTTGACCTGTTGATACATGCAATCTGGGGGAATCTTTCACTTAATTCATGCCAGGGGAACATTAGAATAAATTGCAGAGGAAATTAGAGGAATAAATAATCCTTGCATCTTCAAAGGCACACTGACCAGGATACTTGCAGTCAGGATCAGTGAACTTGAAAATCAGGGTGAAATCACCTTGACCCTAAAGGCTGATTAAAAGAGAATTTGAAATGGCTGGGCTTTGAGGAACTGGGAAATTATTTCCACACGTGTAGTTTGAAGGAGCTGCCAATCAGTACCTGAAGCATGTAACACAGCAGGGAGAGCCATTTCTTGCTCTGAAGATTCCTTCCCTCCACCAGCAAAAGCAATGCCAGAAATAGGGTTACAACCGAGACCCAGCAAGCTGGGTTAACCCAAGTAGTCTGTCTGTCCCTGGGGCACAGCCCCACCAAAGCAGCATCCCAGTGCTGCTCAGTGAGCATCAAAGTCTGCCTTGGATATGGCAAAGGCTCACTGACCTCAAGGCATCTTAAATGAGTCCAGTTCCCAAAACTTGCCTTTACCATTCACAACCATGTTTTATCTGGAAACACCTGCCCAGACTGCCCTGCCCCTGCCTCTTTAGCCATCAGAAGAGATCCAGAAACTATGGACCCAAAGGAGACAAGCACTGCCCAGCAAGGATCCTTGGGTGACCAGCTACATCAGTTTCAGCAAGATAACCGCTCACCCTGGGAGGAGTACCCTGGGCTTCAGAGTCACTCCACGAAGAGGATTAAGCCACATGCCTGTCAGAAGGCGGAAACCCTCCACTGTTTTAATTAAGCTTAATTCTCTAGCCCTGCACCCTCATGGACCCAGACCCCTGCCTCACAGCTTGTGAAGCTCTGGCAGGGCTTTGGGAGGCCAGCCCTCGGGGTAGGGGTGCTTTTGGGAAGCGCTGCAGAAACTGCCAGGAGCCATTCAGCCCATAATCAGTCCCATTCTCTCCCTAAACAATAAACACCACACTGCCAGCAAGAGTTTTACGAGGGTCTCCTCCATGATGCTGTGTAAATCAGAGCTGTTTGTAGCTCATCATTAGGACAGAAAGGTTTTGCTATGAGATATTGTGAAATTTGTTAAAAATAACGTCCCCTGCTTGAGGAAAAGGGGATGCCGCAAATGAAGCACTCCAACAGCGCTGAAAGCAAAAAAAGATTTTTCAGGGACGTAAAAGCTTTCAGTTGTAGAAGTAAGCTACAGTAATTTGTGACGTTAAATCAGAAGAGCAAGCAGTACAGTCAAGGAGATACTTAGCCAAATGTGATTTTCCAGGCACAAGATGTACAAAGACTTATTGCAGGGCCAGCTCCTCTATCCCCATTAGGCTCCCCACCACATTCCATCTGCAACTTACCTGAGACGATGGTGTAGCCAATGCCCCGGGGACGGCCCTTGTCCTGGTCAATTGCTGTTATCATCCGCACGGTGGTACCCTGGGGAAGGAGACACGCATTACAGTCACCCCAGATGAGCACTTCTGGGGCTCCTGGGCTGCCTTACCAAGGCCTTGCACCTCTCACCATGGGCCACATGCTTAGGAAAACCTTTTCAAGGGCAAAGCGTGTCACAGAAAAGTCTCATCACCTGATTCTTGGGGCAGTTCAGGCTCACTAGTCCTCAATCCCGTGCAAGCTGTAGAAGTCTGCTAGCCCACCACAGGATATAGCTGGAAATGCTGAAGGCATGACCAGGAACGCATGTCCTCTAAGAGAACCACTGAGCAGGATGAGCTTGACTGTCCATTAGACTTATACCAAGGCAAGTGTCTGTAGGGACTAGAGAGAGCACCACCAGACACACTCATGCTGCTCATCCCTTACCCAGAGGGAAAGGATTTGAAACAAGGTCAATGTGGTAAGCACAGTTGTGAGTGCTCAAGGAAGAAGATGAAGGTGCAGCATTGGCAAAGCCAGAACATGCCTCCTTATAGCATCACAGCTGCACAGGCTGTGGCTGACAGGCAGAGCTTACACTTCTGCACCACAGATATTATAACTCTGAAGACCCTTGATGAATAAAGGTAACAATTCCCCCACACCACGATCTTCAGGACTGATCACTATACCACCTCTGTCTACTGGTGGCTTCCCTGTTTCAACTGGTCCTCTTCTCCCCCTGCATTCTTCGAATGCACTAAGGAATGTTCTGCTGGCCATTGGCATCCAGCTGTATAACCTGCTAGGCAAGCTGCAGAGAATTTAATTGAAACCTTTAAGGAGAAGGAGGGTTGGACAGATGCTGGGAACAGGGATTTTCCACAGGCAGAAGCTTCTGCAACTGTCAGCTCACCCATCTCATCCTCCATCTGCAGGACAGACCTGTTTCTTACAGTCCTGAAGGTAGGTCCATGAGCCCAAGAATCCTCCAAAAGTCACCAATAACATAAAAGTCACCCAAAATTCTTGTTTAGTGCTTTAAATAAAACCATCATGTGCTTAAGTCAACTCCATAAGCTGTACTTCTCCCACCACACTGCAGTGAGCCCATGTGAATACAAACACATGCACTTGCACATAATTAATGTAGTGTGAAAAAATTTACAACTCAGCTGTTCTTGTTTTCATTGGTTTATTAACAGTGGGAAAAAAAGCTTTTTTTTTTTGCCCTCAAAGGAAATGTCAACAGAGGCATTTGCATATCTAACGAGGGATACAGAGGAACAGCAGTGTTGCATTTACCCTACAATCCATCAATTGAAGGCCAAAGGGAAAGCTGGTGCAGAAACACCACCAGTGGAAAGCAGGGACTTGCCCTCTTCCCTGGCTTTCAAAGCCATGCCCCTGTGCGCTCGATGGAGATGCTTTACCACGGGCGGCCATAAAGAAGGCTCCTGAGACCAGTCAGACTGCCTATGCCCTGATCTCTGAGGGCATTTCAATGGACTCCTTAAGTAAATCCATGTTATTAACTGAGAACATTAGCCATAAATCCCAGGTCACTGGCCTTTGAAACAGCACTCAGCTGGTGAGGCTCAGCAGCCACTGAAGGGTCTCTAAATCACTGACAATAAGTGTGCTTTCCAAAGGAGCAAAGATAGATAAAAAGCACAAGAAAAGCGGGAAAGAAACAGGTGGGAAAGCAGAACAAGGGACATCCAACGGAGGGCAATGCAAAGCAGAGGGAAAAAAAAAAGAAGGGCAGGCATGCAATCCAGCATGCTCTCCTCCAGCATACCCTATTTTAAGCTGCTGTCCCCACGGGGCAGCTGTGGGACCCCTCCACTCCCTGGCAAAACAAGAGCTCCTCCATCACAGAGGCAGTGGGTGAAGGCTCTTGGTCCACCTTACAGCTCGCTCATCACCTGTCAAAAAGCAAGGGAGCAGCACAGAATGATAAGCGTTGCCTGCCGTAGAGCACATTTCAAGGGGAAGGCAGCTGCGGGAGAATGCAGGGCTTCCGCGATGGCTGAGGAATAGCAATGGGCCTGCCACACTGCAGCCGCTTTATCTATGGAAAGGTCCCTCCTGTAGCAGCCAAGGGGAAGGGTTGTTGGGAGAGATAAAAGGATGAACGCAAATGTTGCAGCAAGGAAAGTTTGGGAGGGGAAGAGGGGGAATCTCGTTAGGATATCTTAGCCGCGTGTGCCATAGAGACGTACCATAGGAAAGAAATGAGCCAGACATCTGATCACAAGAATGAGGGCTGTTAGAGAGCACTCTAGGGTTCAGCTTCAAGGCCTTGACAAGCCCATTAAGATGGTTTCCACGTTGCTAGTTTTTGAGTCTCGTCTTCCCTGTTCTCCTGTTCTCCACAAGCCCCTTTACCAGCCCCTCCTGGAGATGAGCCACACTTCATCAGTGATGGAAAAATACGTGTCAGAGTGAAGCTGAGTTCCCTAACGTTCATGGATGCCATCTCCTGGAACCACAGGAAGGACAGGAATCTGGGCACCTCTTTGCATCCTCCCTGGTTTCCATCCTTCCTGCTAGCTCTTTCACAAGAGTCTTCTAATTATCCACAAAACTGGTGGATCCCAGCTCCTGAAAATGGATGATCCCTCCCCGAGCATTCGCACAGTGTTTATGACCTTGATCCTTCTGGGGAAGAGGCTTAACAAGTGCCACAGGATAGGCATAATGTTTATCCACATCACCAGTGGCAATTATTGATTTTGTAGTGAGAGGTAAGAACTGATGAAGACAGCCTTGGTGCATGATAGTTCAACATGGTCAACAGGAAGGAGTATTCCATTCAGCACGTGTTGGAGTAAGATGATAAAATGCAAAACATGATTGTACACATAGGCTATACTCATCTCTCATTTCCTGTGATGATCATGAAGCCTTGCCCACCATACCAGCAGAGATAACTAAACAGAGAGGAGAGCCTAGAAACAAGAAAACACCCAAACCAAACCCTTGATCACAGTCATACCACAACAGCAAAGAATGACCTCTCAACAACCACACCTCAACAATTTCCAGTTTTTCTTCCAAAATTCTTCCAGACTACAACAATATTCATTTTACTGCCTAGGTCTTAGCACAGTAAGGGCAGAAGATGCTGTGCCCTGGCTCCCTGAGGCAGCCAACTGCACCCCTAAATTGGAGAGGACCGTCTCCAGCCAAGCACATCTGGCAAGGCTTCCACTTACTCATGGAAACACCATGTTGACTTCCAGTGCTAACAGCTCTGCCCAGGACTCATCCCAAGTATTTGTGATGCAAACCTACAGCTCTCAATCTCCCAAATATTCCTGACATATCTTAAAACAACCACCAACTTGCCTACCTGCCACAGGCAATGGTGGCTGCAAGGAAAGGACTCAGCTGAAGTTCTGAAGCACCAGAACAGAGTAACTCTCTCCCTCTAGGGAAGGAGGAAGAAGGTTTAGAAAAGTAATAATCTGGAAAAGCCTATGCTTAAAAAAAAGACAAAGAAAATAAAGAATGGCACATTATCCAAACAAAATCTGAGGGTTTTTTGAAGAGGGGCAGGGGTAAATCAATCCCTTTTTAATAAAAACCTGAGCTTTTAATAAAGTGTTCACACTGATGGGCTGGAAATATTGTAAGAAAGAATTAACTCAGAGCTATTGAGACTCCAGGGCAAAAATAGCACTGATTCTACATTATTTCTTCAATCCAAGGACTTTCTGAGGAGGAGGGGGATGGTGCTGAAGAATTAAAACTGTTTTAATAATATTTGACACGTATCTGTACTATCCTATTGCAAGGGAATACAACTTCTGGTCTTGGGACCAAGCATCATTGGGGTTTGCTCCAGCTCTTGCGTGCACGTGGCTCTCTGTGGGATGAAGCACGCTTTCACAGACCTTAGCTTGTCTCTTAGCAAGTGGATTCCTCCTCTTTCACCCCCAAAGTGAAGCTGCCATGCTGTCTGGACCATGCACTGGCAGAGGTCCAAAAGCAGAGGATCATTAGGCCAATAGCATCTCTGCAAGAGGAAATGGCCCCTTTCCTCCAGCCCCTATTAAGTTGTCTGGAGGACATCAGTGATGCTACCCAGCCTACAAACACTGTGAAGATGCACACACAAAAAGACTTAAAGATGAAAAATGCAATGTTGCCAAGCTTTACCACAGCTACAGGCAGCTTTGGTGCACTTGGGTGCCCTGGGAGAGATGTCTGAGGCATACTGGGAAGACCAACAGCATCAAGAAAGAAGAAACAACACCTCCAGGAACCTCCCCCCACTGCATCTTCTTCCTTTGCCTGATAAGAAATTCCTTTCTTCTCACTGTCCGAATAAGCATGTGCCCAAAATGCTTCTGAATCATGCTGCCAGATCCCAGCCTGAGAAAAATAAGAGCTACAATGGCACTTGTCTCCCCTCTCACACCCCTCCACCCCTTTTTCTTCCTCTCTTACAGGATTAGGGACTTGAAAGGCAAAGCACAGCCCAGCGTTGCAGCAGGAGGAGGAGGGAGGAGTGCTTCAGAAAGCTGCCACGGCAAAAAAAAATCCCATTTCTCACTTCTTAATTCCAGTCAAAGGGCTGATAGAGATCTGTTTGTGGTAATTTGCTGCAGTTTATCCACTCTTTTCACCTTCTATCGGCTCTTCACTGACGGGTTGGCTGACATGCTGTTACTCGAGTGAGGAAATTAAAATTTGATGCAATAATCCCAAATAAGAAGGATTTTATTAGGTAATGTATACATTTCAGATGAGGTATTCTCACATGATATATTGATAAAGGAACACAGACATGCTGTGCGCCACAGATAAAAAGAAAGGCAAGAGAGATGGAGAGTGGGCATGTAGAGCAGCAGCAAGTCTCTGCTCTGTAGATTTAGGCTGGGATGAGATTTCTCGAGCACATTTTGACCTGCTGAGCCTGATGGCAGGGCAAACATCACCCACAAATGCTCTTCAGCCTGTCTGCTTGACCTGGAAGCCCGGTTTTGGACAGAAGTTCACCAAGCCTGGACTCCTCATCCAAATTTGCTGTTATCTTTTCGGTAAGCAAGCCATTCTGCAGGGCAACAGTTGCTACTTTGCATGTACGACTGGCTCCCTCGGGCGGTAGGGCAGAGCTGATGAGAAGACTTCCCGCGGAGAGATGATAATGGACATGTTAAACCCCAGGTTTGCCATAGCTAACCACGTCCTTGGTTCAGTAGTGATTTCTCTCCGGAAAGGTGGGACTTCGGGTCCAATCCAGACAGCAGTATCACTCAAAGTACTGCCCACATTCAGCAGTCTTCCTCCTCACTGTATCTCTGGTGACACCTATCCATCTCAGGTATCTCAGTGCCTTTGGAGATGTTACACAGGGCCAAGAGAAATTAAAATCCCCAAACCCTCCAGAAAACTTCTAGCAGTTTTGTGAGCACTTTTACACTGATTTCCTGTTTCAGGTTACACACCAATTATTTGCTGCTTTGCCTGCTGCAAACAGTGTATATTCTGGGAATAACTGTGGTACACATTGGTGTGTCAAGACAGATTGTTGAGCTCCAGCTGATAAATGTTAATGATATATATCATTAATTTGAGAGATCACCTTTCCTGGATACCAGGTCACCCCATGAAGGAGATGCAGTCTGTAATGTTTTATGCTTGTGAGACTTCCATTTCTGTCATTTCATCGAAGGCTTTTTTTCCCCCAGTTAAGTGTGATCTAAATATGTTTTTTTCTTCCCTGCAGCTCATATTGCCCCCCACAGAAATACTCCTTAATTTCAACAGCACTGAAACTTTCACTTCATGAAATTAATTCATGAAGCCATGTTTTGGCCATCTTCAGGCCAGCAGACAGGTTATGTGCTGTCTGATCACGGGATTTGTGACAGTAGGACTCAGCCCTATTGATCTAGCACTCTTTGTGCAGTCAGAGTCAGCATTTTGCTCCAAAGTGAATAAAAAGGAATGAACTGAAGCAAGCTGGGGTTCCACCTACCAGTGCATGAACTGAGCCAACAGGCATTTTGCATCCGGTGCACCAGAGATGTTGCAGGATGCACATATGGTATTGATGCCTACCACACCAAGATTTTAGGGCAGAAGGTTTTTCCATCCGTATACAGAAAGATTTGACCTATAGACAAAGCAATGGGATACACCACTGTGCCTTGGGAAGGTGGATACTGCTCAGTACTGGCTGGACCTTGGGCTGAAGACCCTGGGCATGCTTGCTGCGAGCAGAGCAAACAGCTCCCAGAGCCAAAGCTGCCTGCCACACTCCCTGTCATCTGCTGCAGGGCACAAAAACCCTGCTGTATTTAGAGACTGGGAGATGTTTTCCACAAACAGTGAGTTTGCTGACAAACTGGGTTTCAGAAGAACTAAAGTGATTGGATCAATTTGGCAAAACCTGGGGAAAAATACTCAAAGTGCTGAAATGGCTGATGATTCTGGCATTTTCAAAACTGAATCATTTCAGGAACGTTTAAGTTTTTCTTCAAGTTTTCTATTAGAAATGGCATGCATATACACTGTGGGGAGGAAATGGAGTTACTGTGTGCTAAGAACAACATAAAGCCTTTCTAAAATTTTTAAAAAATGTTTAGGAAAATATTTTATTTGGGTTTCAGGCTTCCTAAACCTCCTTACTTAGGCTCCCTTTTTAAAAAAGGGCAAAATATTTTGGGGCTGGCCTGAAACAGGTTGTTTCAGAAAGAAAAAGATTTGCCTCTCTTTGGATCTCAAGATTCAGAGCATTTGTGCTTTAGCATGGAAACAGGGTTCCTCTTTGCACCCAAGCCAAAAACATTGGGGCAGAGCAATGCAAACCTATGATAGATGGGAGGAGAGACAAATATCTCTGCAAAGAGGTTTTCCTCCAACTCTTTTGGGATACCTTGTGCTTTCTGTCCCATACCGTGGCTCTATCCTCCCTTGGCCCCCAGTACGTCACCACAGTCATGCACATCAGAGTGAAACAGCAGCCCTTACCGGAGGCGAGTTCTCATAGATATTCGTGCTGTAGGGCAGGTTGATGAAGATGGGGTCCATGTCCTGCACATCTGTGATGGTGATTGCCAGGTTGGCCAGAGTAGACAGTGGCTTGTTTTTATCTTGGTCCTTGAAAAAAACAAGGGTTGGGGTGGAGGAGAGAAAGGATTTCTATCAGAAAAATAGAATTATTCAACAGCATTAAGTTTCTCAGTGGTAGCTGGGTCAAAATTTCTGAGTATTCCAGGTAATCATCTCTTTTTCAAGCTACTTGCTGGAATTATCATCCACTGTTCCTCCCTCTGAGCCGAAAGGAAATACAATATGCATTTCATTGCAGCATTAGCCCTTTAAAATAAAGCAAGCACCAATTAGGTTTTCATGACATTTCAGCTGAAAAAGAAGAAACACTGTTCAACATATACTTCAAAGTATAAATTCCCTCTTAATGCAGCTACAGCCTAGGGTACCTCTGCACCGTAAGACCCGGGTGTGATTGCCGGCAGACTCTCATATCCACACATCACAGCAGAGCATCTCATACCCCCCAGCACCAGTTCCTCTGCACAGCTTGGCCTCTGCCAGCTGGAACACGACAAAGCCCACCAGCTCCCTCATGTTTCCACTGCTCTTTGTAATCCTGCAGGCTGTGTTGCAGACCCAGCTTTATTCCTTTCTGTATTTGCTGCTCTGAGCTTTAGCAGAGAGTATGTACACTATGTGCTGCTTCTGTTTACACAGGATACCTCAGCTCTCACACAGAAGGCAGAGTGGAAGCCACAACCACAGGATACATCCTGAGAGTAGCAACCTTCTTTCCACTGGGCTAATGATTTTGGCTCTGATAAACTGCAAACCTCCCCACTTCCACCTTGCATGGGGACTGGCAGGATCAGGGTAACCAGAAGCTGCCTTTTGATGCAAGTCAAGCTGCTTCCATAGCTGCGGGGACATGGGGAGCCAGCCTGCCTGCTCTGCAAAGCAGGTGACAAGCATGCAGCGATCCTACAAAGAGCATCAGTGGCTTATGAACAGTTAAATGCTTCGAGCAGGAGCATCATCCTTCTTACACCCCCTCACAACCCATCAGGATGGAGCTGCAAGCACTTTCCCAGAGCAAGACCCTTCCTTGGCAGCCAATGCAACAGCAGCACACACTGCCACCGGCTTTGTCCTGGCAGTGCCCCACTGACACCGTTCTTCTTGCCACAGCTTGTCCCATGGGTGCTGAAAAGTGACCCCAATGCCCACAGCCCTTTCCTAAAAAGGCAGGAGAGAAGAGATAACACATGAAAGGAAGGAAATAAGTCTCTCCTTATCCCCTAATCAAGCACCGTGGTGAAAGGCAACCATTAGAGGTTTCTGCACACTTCTGCAAACTGGCTCTGAACAGCAGCAAGGACTGATTGCCAGAAGATTAATGTTAATTTAAGCCGTATTCAACAGCACAGCTTGCGCATTATCCTCTTAACCTGCAGGCCTCAGCGTTTATGGCCTGGATGGATGCTTATTTCTGACTCACACTCTGCTGTTAGTGTTATCAGGTTGAAGTTTTTTGTTTCTTCATATAATGTTTCTTCCCCCCTCCCCTTCACCTCTTAAATTTTGGTTAAATGTTTACAGATAGCACTGAAAAAGCAAGAACGTTTCAAGTTTCCTCACCTATCATCTCTCATGCTGCCCTCTCCACCCTCTTTCTTCTCTTGCTGCCTACGTCATTGGGATGAAATGGCTCCTGCCTTGAAGCAAGGCTCCACAAATCTTCTTGCACCCTTACAGCAGCCACCCCAAATTCACCATGACCCCAGTTCCTATTTTAGACCATGCCACCTCTTCATCAGGCAGGCAAAAGACTGCATTTGCTCTTCCAGCTCCTGCTATACTGGTACAACTCTCACCCTTCTTTCCCAGTCTGGGGTTTGCCCCAAAGTTTCTCATTGCCTTTCTGCCAGAAATTACCAGTGCCCTATGACAGAGCTGAGGAGAAATTCCCACGACTGCAATCAAGCCTTGTTCAGAGATTTAATATTTAAGTCCTTGAATTCCCCAAGCTAGAAATGACTAAAAGCCAGGAGTATATAAGGTAGCAAGTACCAGATATGCCCCCATATTATCTTTGCTCCAGGTGGTAACTGCACCTGGGATACAGGTCTAGGTACAGCTGGGTGAACCAAAGTGTATCCTTGTGTTCTTGATGAAACCTCAATCGGACATGTGGATGAAAGGCATGCTTCCATCAGGGCTTGTATTTGGTCCCACGTTTTCTAACCTGCTAGTTAGTTCAATAGCACGCCCTGGGAAAGGGTGTTGGAGACAGAGACTGATAATGAAATAAACAATGCAGAGAGCCTCTTGTCAGTGGAGTATTTAAAATCAAATCAGGTATATTTCAGAAAAAATAAGTTTCTGGGAAAAATTCCACAGCCTCAAACATGCAAGGATTGGGCTGAAAGGTTGAGCTGTTTGCCTGTTGCCCTGCAGTCTGTGAATGTCCAGTCTCCGTGGCCATGAAGAGTAAAGCAGCCCTGTGCAGCCCTCTCTGTCCTCATGACATTTGTGGTTCTGCATCAAGACAATGATCTTGATTAAATCACATGCTCCAAAAGCTCTAGCCAGCTGCCCAGAGGTGTCAGTAAGGATTTTCTCCCCCTCTCCTGAATGCAGAGTCGGTCAGATATAGTGTAAGGCTGAACCTAACCTTCCTCTGTTGAATCTGAGATGGGAAAGGAGCACCATCCAGAGCACCTGCTTGTGTTGTATTCCTCATTCACATGTTCCCTATCCACACATTCCCTGCCAAGATCTTGCTAGATTTGACACTAGGAAAGAAGTTTCCCATTCAGGTAGGGCATGCATTTGCGATGGTGGCCACGTGGACATACATCTCCAGGATCTCCCCTCCCGATACAGTGGTATTGACTGTAATTATATTAGGAAGTTGGTTTCTCTCTGTCCACCAGAATCTTAACTCTTGATGTCTGAACTCAGCCTTTGCTGAGTGGGGCTCAAGGGGTTTAATACAGGTGAATCCTTTTGTATACAGGAATGAGACCAGAGGATTTAATAGTCTGTATGCCCTGTACTAGCTTTCTTCACCAAGGGAGCTACTTGCCTTTATAGAGAAGCCCTGACATGCATGAGTTGCTGTTGAAGAGGTGCAGCTGTGCTCCACAAGCTGCACAGCAGAGATTTAAAACTACCCAGGTAAAATACTTCTCTAAGTGGAAAATTCTGGATGTGGCCAAGAAGATGCCAGAGTAGGGCAAGAAAATAAGTAAGCAGCAGCTCCCTCCCCATTGCAGTCCCTTCAGAAAAAGTCTCCTCCCCTGTAGGCACCAGAATAAGACTCACCGTTGCATTGACCTGGAGCTGGTATGCCTGTGTCACTTCATAGTCGAGCTCCCGTATCACTGACACGATGCCACGGCCACTGTCAATGGCAAAGAAATTGGAAGGAGGCTGGAAGGAGTAAAGCACGCTGCCTCCTGCCCCCTGATCTGGATCTGTGGCATTCACTATGAAAATCGGAGTGCCCACCGGTGTATTCTGGAAAAAAAAAAAAGTAAAAAAAAAATCAGAAAAGTTGTGCACCAGCCCATTTTCCCATCAAACACAGATCAGCAATTCCCTTTGCCCACCAGAAGGAATATCTGAAGACCCGAGAATTTCAGTCCTGTATTTGCAGGACATTTATAAGTCATAGTGCTGTTTTCTTTATTACAGTATTGCAGCAGCTATAATAGTTGTTACACACTTATAATAATAGTTATATAGCTGCGGTCAAGATGGCACTCTGTCACAAACCCTCATTTTCCCAGACATCAGAACTTTCCAGAAAAATTACTCTCTTTACTGAAACTTGTTTTCTGCCCAAAGGCACTTTTATTTTCAACGCTGATTCCCTTTCCGTTTTGACCACAAGGCATTAACTATGAGAGCCTAAAAAAAAAATGCATTCAATGCAACACAGAACTTTACGCAAAAGTCAAAGTTATAGTTTCCACAGCAACTACAACCTGGCCTGATTAACGCAGACATTAACAATTAAATCGTCATAAATCTGGAACTAATCTACATGCATAAAATATGCAGCTGAGTGCACAAAATCAGCAATGGCAAATGCAGTTTGGCACTTCTTATTGTTTAACTTCACAGCAGGGAGAACAATTATCCATTTTTGGTGGAACAGCTGCATGTTCCTATGCAAATCTTAAATGCATATTCTTGTCTCTCTAAAGGCAGAAGCACAGACGGCAATCAAAAAGATTTTGCTGGGGACCTAGGCTTCAGGTAGCACAGATCACAATGGCTTGGGCAAGTCCATATGTTTGTAACTTGTTTACAGCCACATTAAGGGTTGACAAAGAGCTAAAACTTGAAAGGGAGACAGCAAAGATCAGAAGCAAGATGTGTCAAGGGGTGATTGTGGCCAGTTGGGATAATACAGATTATTTCTGTAAACCTCTTCCCAAGTTTCTGTGGTTTATTGTTAATTTCATTCATATTAAATTTTTTGTCTTTAGCTCATAGACGAGTATCACAAAGTGCTGAGGAGGTGGAAAGGAAATTTGAGGAGAGACAGAGCTTAGAAAATAGGCACTGATCCCAAGTGGAGCATCTTCTGCAAATCCTTGGCCAAAGCTGAGCAATAAACTGAGTGATTGTCAGGCTTTTTGGGAACCACAAAGCTTGCAGCAAACCATGGCCAGGGCTTCATCAAGCCTGTCCCAGGCCACCACCTCCACTAGAAAGCATGAGAAACCAGGTCTCCATGCTTGGAGATCTGATTTAACCAGTTTAATATTGGGTGATGGCATCAGAAAAGAACGAAAACATCTCCATTTGCCCCAGTGAGGCTCAGACCAGCAGAAACTTGCCTTCAAGACAGGTGGCAAGATTTGCTGTGAGCCTGGTCAGACAGAGCAAGTAATCCAGGGCATGTCCTGCAATCCACATTCATGAGTCTGGGCCCTGGATACTCATCCACACATGTCCCTCACACCTCCCTGTCCTTGCATCTAAACACATGGCACTGTAGGCATGATCCGATACCTAAGCTTGTCTCAGGCTGCAGCAAAACTCCACTTTCCTTACTTCAGTGTTGCTTCTGCAGAGGTGCAAGAGGTTGCAGTTCCCCCATAGATTTTTCATTTGCTTTCTTTTTTCTCCCCTCTAAATCAAACCTTAGGAGCTCACAGGGCATGGCCTGAAGATTATTTTTTAAAGCACCTTCAAGTTTTTTTTTGTGATCATCAATCATAAAAGCATAAAAGATACAGCTAGAAGGGACCTCAAAAGAGAAACCCGTCCTCATACTACACCTAAATCATTCCCACCCTTAAAGCTTTCTAGCAATGGAGGCACCACGCCCTCCCCAGCTCATTTGTCCCAGCAGTTTGCTACCCTTTACTTTACAACTGCTGATTTTCTGTAATGCTTAACCCATATCTGCCCTGCTGCCATGTAAGTCTTCGACTTTGTGTCACACACAGAGCATGTTAATCATGCTTCGTGCATTTAGACTGCTCAGGAACTGGGACTTTATCAGCATGGGAGGTGTGCTGCGGTGGAGAAGCCCTTCATGAGGGGGCTGTGATGGGCGTTTTCTTTCCAAGCGCTCCTAAGACAACTTCTCAGAGAGGACTAGAGCATCCTTCTTTGGGCTACCTGCCTCTCCAAGCCGTCATGGCCAGCTGGGAGCAGCCCCAGAGCATCCTGCAGCCCTCCCCTTGCTGCTGCCACAGGACATTGCTCTGACCGTTGAGGTCTACATCCTCCAACAACTACCTTTTCAGATTCCTCCCCCAGATCCACTAGGGTATCAATATCAGGACAAAGAGCGTTACAAATTAACCATTAACAGGGGGAGGAGAGGCAGTGAAAAGAGTAGATCCAGGGTTGCACCGATGAGGTCTGGGGTATATTGTCCCCAGGGGTAATAATATTCATAATTATAAAGCTGGACTTGATGAATATGTTTTCCCTTCTTTTTAAGTGCCCCTAGCCACTCCTTTTAACATGCAAATCCGATCTGGTCACCCGTGATTATGGGGCTGTGAGGCTGGCTGTGAAAGAGGAGAGCTTGATTTCCTTGGCATTGTATTTCATACAATAGCCCAAAAGCAGGCTTTGAAGAGAGTTCATCTCCTCGTCCTTCCAAAGCAGAAGCTGCCTGGAGGGACACAGAGGTCACCAGTTTTGGTGCTGTCAGCTCTAGCCATTGCAGACACCGCCTGAGCTCTGACTTGGTGATTACAGTATTTTTATCCATCTTTTACAGCTTTGCTGACCATGTCCCTTCATTGGCCAGGGTCACAAAACCCACACAAGCAGGATATCAGCTCTGGACAATTTCTGGCTGGCCCTGGGAAACAGTCATGGGCATCTACACCAAAGCATCCAAGGGGCTGTGAGGAAGCTTGGGGCAGGACCTCAGTGGGTGACAGTGGGCACCTGCAAGCATGAGCAAGCCATGGTGTGTGGAAATTTAGGAGGGGAACAGAAGGGATCCCAGGAAATAGGAGGAGCATTACAGGAGCCTGAAGGAGAACAGCAAAGTCTTGGAGGGGGAAACGTCTGATACTGCTCAAAGTACACAGATCAGTGGGAAATTTTCTCTACCAAATGCACACCCTTATTCCCAACAGCACACAGGTCAAAGGATGCAGACCTATAAGAAGTGCTCTAGGTAATGCATTCTTCTCTGCCAGCTCAAACTTGAGCAAACAAACCTCAATTCTGGAAAGGCAAAACTAGCTGTGGGATGCAGACACCCCATATTGACAGTCCTCTAGGAAAAGAGGTCTCACGTTCAGTGTTCGTGCCCAGGCAGGATACAGTCAGAACTGGGAGGAATTTCAGACCATCTGTTTTAAAAAGCATAAGAAGTATGTCTTTAAAATCCTCTTGCCATTTTTGGGTCAAACAGGCTCAAGATATTCCTCAGCAGGAGGCTGACGTCTTTATTTGTCAAAAGATGCGGCCCATCATCTGAACAATGGAGTGAAACATCTGTATAAACAGAACTGGCTGGGGTTTGTGTTTGATGGTAAATAAGAGGCAGAGGGCACATTCCAGGGAGATACAATTGGTAAGCCCTGAACCAGGCCAGCTCAAGACAGACCATGCTTCTGAATTTTCAGCATTTGGCCTACTTATAGGACTCTTCTGTGTGTCCCTCGTGGCTATTCTTTCTTAGCAAAGATCAATTGTGGTTATGCTTAGTTGCCTGACAGGCAAAAATAACAAATTCTATCCAGAAAAGAAGAAATGCAGACAGACAACAGCCTACAGGTACTTGTGGCAAACAGGTGAATTTTCTACATGAGTCACCAAATTCCGTCATTTTTAAAGTTCTCATCTCTCTTCAGCAGCCAGTGATGAAGCTTCACTCACTACAGAAAAAAAAACCCAACAACTGGTGACAGAACTATGTCATATCATTAAATCTTTGTTATGATGCCAGCAGATGCGAGATAAAAATAAACATGCAGACAGATGCCTCCCACGGAGGAGAAGGAGGGCAAATAGGAGCGGGACCCATTCCTGACCTGTCTCCAGCACCCCATCCTTCATCAGACAGCTCAGCAGGAGTGGCTCCAGCATGCCCTCCAAGCAGCTCTGGGAGTTAAAGGGTTCTGGTGAGCCAGCTGCAATACTACTGAGCTGCATGGGCTGGGGATGCTGGGGTGCAAGGTAGCAAGGCCATTTGTGCCTCCCTTATTTTGCAATAAATGAATAGGAAAGGTTCTAACTGTTGTAAAAATCTTACAGGAAGAAGCTGATGGGGTCCTGTTTGCCAGAAAGAAATACTGAATGGTAACAGCATGTTACACATTACACCCAAAGCACCAGTAAGAGCAAACCACAAGCAGCAAGGTACAAGAGCCCAAGGTAGAAGGAGACTACTCTGTTTCATTGGATCATCAATAGCAAGGGTAGATTTGCATTAAAATAAGGAATGAACAACCCTGTATAACCACAAAAGTATGGTGCTGCACAAGGAGGAAGCAAAGGAGAGACCAAGACTTTACCTCTCACACACCAGTGCAGCAATACACAATTTTACATAGGAAATACACACCATTGAGTGACCAGAAAGAAGTTGTATTTCCACACGAAAACTTTTATGGGTATGGACCACGTGTGGCCCACCAAGACAAATGCCTCACCTGGCCTGGGCTGTCACCTCCATGCAACTCTGCAGCATGAGAGATCAGACACAGATGTGTCCTGTGTTAACCTCGGCGCATTGACAGCTAGCACACCAGGGCCTTACCCATTACTGTCTGTAAAAGGGCACCTAAGGCTGAAGAAAAGGTTACCAGAAAAGGGCCTTTTAAACATATTTACACCTCACTCTCTGGCCACACCTATAGTCTTTAATATCTTATTATGAATCCTGCTATAAAATGCATTAGTAATAAAATTTCTGATGGATGCTGCTCTGACACAAAACGGGCAATACAAGGCAAATTACAAACTTGGAGGAGACAGTCTCCAGGGGCATGATGTGCCCTACCAGGCAGATTATGTGGCCACAGCTC